CACGAAACGTGTGCGAACAATATTGCGTTATCGATCCAGCTATTGTCGTGCGAAATACCTACAGCTTTACACGTCACGAGGCACACTGTTCCTACTCAAGTATTGTATCCTACAAATCTTCTCTCCAGATACTACATATAATACAATATTTTATACTATATAATACTATATTTATTCAGGCAATACTATCAATAATATATATCTATTTATTTGACCAATTTTGGATAATTAAAAAAAAAAAAAAAATCAATCATCTTAATCAATTTTGTCCCACGCAGCACTTGGGGGTGGCCTTTGACGTGAAGCAAAAACAATAAGTTTTACCAACATGCATCTTAATCAGTTAATCATTGCAAATATTCGCCTAACTCAGAGTTACAAAACAAAAACAATCACTTAATGTGGAAAGAGGGTCCAGAAATAAAATTGTCCAACCGTTCCTTATGTCATAGATGATCAACCATGTATAAGGTAGTTCTGATCAGATCTCTGTAATTGTATATCATATTATTCTTTGAGAAAAATAACAAACTTTGCCGAGTATGTAGGTAGTTTTGATCAAATCTCTGCATATCCTCGTCTTCTTTGAGCCAGATAACGAACTTTTCCATAGATGGTGAGTGGCAGAAGGAGGAATTTTGTTACGTAGTTTCTGTACCGTGCTCTCAGTTCAGGTTTACGAAGGATCAGGATGGTTGGGAACAGTACTGCGTTTATCAAGGGAAAGGTGGATTCTAACAATGCAATGAGGGGGTATGGGAGGACGTAATACACCCAGATAGCGATTGTATTCACGCAGTACAAAGAGACGCTAATCAAGTACAGTAACGAGATAAGAAACACTGTTAAGTTAACTTGGTTTGCAGTGTTCAGCTGTGGGTTTTCGTGACCTCCAAAGGCTTTCTTTATATAGATCATCTGAAGCATCATGCATACAAGCACAATCAAACAAGGCAAACCAAACTGAACTAAAGGTAAAACTATCTCCATGATAATCATCATAAGAGTTGCCGCGCCAGAAGACAATACAGTGTAATGCCTCATCAACAGTAATACACGGGTTGTTGTGCCGTCTCCGATTGTTTCTATTGCAGTCATCACGAACCATGGACCATAGAAACCACTACATTTTGGGTTATCGTTAATATTAGTTATGAGATCATTAAAGGCCCAAACATCAATAATGCACAGGACTAGGAGAATGGACGGGTAAATGAAAAGGAATATCTTCAAAACTCGGTTATTCTGCCTGTAAAATGGACGCATTATGTTGATGGTCTTCACAACCATTAGCGCAACAACGAAATATGTGGAAGTAACGTAGCACAGTATACCAAACAGTTGGCAGACCAGAAAAGTCCAAGGATGCATCCTCAAAGACGGGTCCTTCAAGCACAGCAGTGATATTGAGCCTCGTCCTATCTCTGAACACGCACTTCCAATGTCCACAGCAGCAACCATAATGAAGAATAGGAACGAAATCCTTCTCCAGTCCTTGTGGTAATCATATATGATCATGGCGTTCTGGATCATGATATAAACAGATATCGTGATATTGAGCGGGGTTATATACTGAAAGCCAAAGGGATGACCGTCCATAACTAGAGAGGTACTGGGAGGCGAGTTTGTGGTAGTCATTGTTCTGCGGGGAATAAGGCAGGAATTAAACTATTGAACATGAATTAAACATGAAATGACCAAGGAGAACCCCAACGAACTCGTCTTGGTAATACAACAATTCATACAATTTCTATGACGGAGCTAGATCATAGATAGATAGATGATGACAGAAACTATAACATAAATTATTTTAAATTTCCTTGAATAAAGCTTAATTAAGCTAGCGGGTGTACAGGAAGCCTATGAGCTAGGTAGGCAGATAACTCAGTGTTTACCACATTATAAGGTACAACACTCATACTCGAAAAAAGCTTTAAAATCGTACAAGAAAAATATATGGTCAGGAACAGGTTGTAATTATACGGAATATTGAAACTGTCCCTTTAATCACGAATCAATAGAACAAAAAGGTAGATTGATAACAGCGTGAATATGAGGTATATAAGATGAGCTATAGGAGTGAATAGATATGTTTCGCTCTATAAGGCAGCTGACCCAGGCCGAGTCTATCGAGCACAAAATAAAAGGATGAAACATTTTTCCTGTAGGCTTGTAGTAAAAATATACTAGCTTGTTGAGGATTACATGCGATGAGCTATTCTTACTTTATATCACAAGATCCAATCATGTCCTAACATTCCCTACTCAAAGTCAATATCCCATTCACTGTTATTATTAAGCAAAGAAGGTACACGAAACGTGTGCGAACAATATTGCGTTATCGATCCAGCTATTGTCGTGCGAAATACCTACAGCTTTACACGTCACGAGGCACACTGTTCCTACTCAAGTATTGTATCCTACAAATCTTCTCTCCAGATACTACATATAATACAATATTTTATACTATATAATACTATATTTATTCAGGCAATACTATCAATAATATATATCTATTTATTTGACCAAAACCCATAATCATGGGTAGCCGTAGAGTGGACTGCTGCCAGTGTCTCTCTTTCCTAAACAAAAGGAAATCATATTAATTTGATTGACCGTCTGCAAATGCAAAATGATACCTCGAATGAAATCGGTCGCTCGCTTTTCCCTTTCATTCACGGCTTACGAATTGTAATAAGTTTCAATTTATAACATGTAATCAATTACGATTGTGAATGAATGGGAAAGCGAGGTACCTATTTCATTCTCGGTATCATTTTGCATACCGAGACCACTCTACCCATGATTATGGGTTTTGGTCAAATATATTATACAATTTTGTGTGAATTTTGATAGATCATAATACTGTTCATTTTTTAATTTGAGTAAACTACGGGCCATTCCCCAATCACCATTTCAAGTCTCTGGGAGATGTTCTGAACTGTTGGGTGACCGAATGTAACATAATTCGATAAAATTGTTGGATCTCCTAGCTGTGTCATCTGAGACCTTGTCAAATCATAATTTACAATTGTAGAGTCATTTGACGTTGATAAAATTTAATGTTAAATATTTGAACAGTGGAAATATAACGTTTCAGGGGCGATCATATACTACACGAGGAAAAACAAGGACGATTCAGAAAAGTACCAGCCGGTACCGACAAATAACCCAAGTCGGACCACTGACACGCAGCACATTTCTAAAGAGGAGGGACCTTCTGGTGCACAAGAGACAGCGCAAGCTCTGGAACCAACAGCACCACCTCCGCCACCTCCACCTGTCACACTGACAACCTCTATCCCACACCAAGTCCCACTCTATGTGAATATGGTGCAGTCTTCCGGTAGCCAGCCAGTACTAAACATGGTGCAGTCCTCCGGTAGCCAGCCAGTACTAAACATGGTGCAGTCCTCCGGTAGCCAGCCAGTACTAAACATGGTGCAGTCCTCCGGTAGCCAGCCAGTATTAAACATGGTACAGTCCTCCGGTAGCCAGCCAGTACTAAACATTGTGCAGTCCTCTTTTCAACCCCTCACCCAGTACGCTATCCCTCCCTTCCAGATAATACCTGTAGTCGCCTCTCCCGTCGTGACCCACTCTCATATCATCCAGGTATCTAACCACACTCCCCTTTACACTGCCTCTGAGTACAGTAAACTACCCACAGTGACAGAATCTGGGGGAGAAGAGAGCAGAACGGGGACTGCAACTCCACAGCTAGAGTTATGTGGGGGAACACGGTGAGGAGTGTGTTGGAGCAACATCAGGAACACCCCACTGGAGAGGAAGATACGAGCACTGGTCAGGATCCGGGGGACAGTTCGCCTGGAGAAGAGGAGCACATCTACCAGAGTTTAGAAACTGAGACTAGTGGACCATCAGAGACAGTTGAGTCTACTAATGGTTACTCGGCTCCAGTAGGAGCTGCTCGTACTAGATCAGAGAGGTTTAACTCAGACCCTTCTCGTCTCCCTGGATCAGCGGAGGAGGGTCTACAATCAGCTTTTAAGTTCAGATCAGAACCCAATCTGCTGGAGTGAAGAGTGGACAGTAGGACATCATGATGGTCAAAAACTGAAGAAATCCGAACAATATCTTATGTCGCCATCAACCCTAGATACAGGGCTTTGTTCGCAGGGACTTCTGTGAAGAAGGGCATCGGAGACTAATGTACTAACTCTGGTAAAATTCAGCATTGTTTGACTTAATTTTCACCCCAAGATATTATCAAAAGAGCTAATACTTAATCGTCAGTGGAGCTATGTATTTTGCCATCATCTACCAGTTAAACTGACATGCTGGTCATTTATCCATATTCTCAAAAGACGTCAAGCGACAAGCATATAATTATATATGACCACCATTACCAATGATCAGCGATACATTGGAGCATATTTTCAGAGAGATCTACGACAATGACTGAGATCTATTGTAAAGTTCTAAGCCTTTTATCAACATTACAAGACAATTAATTGCGTGATTGGAGATGGGCGAGGAATAATATTTCAATATCAATAAAAATTTACAAATTTTAACAAGTATGGATTGTCTTAGAAAATGTTTTACAAGAAAAAGACAAAGATTTTATTTCAAAAATAATATTTTGTATTCGTATCATACATTTTATTTTACAAATTTTAAAATGTAAAAACAAGTATAGTATCGTTATGTAGCAATCTGAAAAAGTAACAAAATCTCCAAACCATTATCAAATTGTCCTTCTTTCCGCACTACAATTGATCATCAGTCTGAGTCATATACTACGTCTCTCACAAATCAACCGATAATTAATCTCAGCAACTACAAAACTAAAAGCATGATCAAGCCTCCTGAGTCCTGATCCTGCGGCTATCTCACTCACACACTCTCTCTCTTGTTGAAGAAGAGGTCACCAATTCATATTTAACAAAACGCGGAACAACTTTTTATGCTTTTACAAAACGCAAACTTAAAAGAAGTGAGTGTAATTTTCTTATAAATACATCATCAACACCATCTAATGAAATCAATAACATGAACGGAATGAAATAAAAATAAATTCTGAAGCAATAAAACACAATGGGTTGTCGTAGAGGATGGTGACAGTTAGAAGAGATCGTGTACTTGCTTTAGTTTCCTCTGTTTCCAAGCCTGTAAGTCCAGAAACTCTTTTTTATTCATGTTGAATATCGCCTGAGAAGGAGGAGGATGACGGTTAGCATCAGTATAAAATGAGGCGCATCAAAAAGAATAATTTAAATCACATTAACTATAGCGAGCCGGGCCACCTTAATTATAAAAACATAGAACAAGAAGCTATTAAAATTACTTATATTATATAAGGACTTCATCTGAAACCCAGATGAAGAAAATTTCTCTAATTTTGTCCGTCAACTAACCATGAACTCAGTAACTGAGAGATATTGTTCTAGTCTGAGAGGGTCACATCCGACAGGAGGAGGTTTAGCCTGCAGTTCCTTCAGAGTAAACTCTGTCTGCAGGAACCTCTTCAGCTCCTGATCAAGAGGGGTTGGGCCTGGTAGGTCACTGGGAACATCCTGCCAGTCCCTCCACCAGGGGAACAAACATCTGGGAGATGAAGGGATTAGGATTATATTATTTAATTAGGAGTGTTAACAAAACTAATCAGTTTAATTTTAAACAAGAGTTTGAAAGTTAGAACAACAATATTTTATTTCCGATATATCAGCCGATGTTAAACTCACTTGAACTCTGTGGGCTCTGCCCCGGCGTTGACCACTACCATATTAGGTGCCTCCTTAGTTTCCAGCTCAGAATAAGCGAGTGCGGTGTGAAGAGTCAGCTTGTACCGCTCCACAAAGTCAGTCTCAGCAGAGCCTGTGTTAGCGAGTACCTCTCCGTCAGGGGTGTGTGTGGGCCACCAACCCTTCCACACGTACACTGTGTAGACAGAGTCCAGGATAAAGAGGGCAGGTTGCTCGGCCTCATAGAGGTCGGATTGTAGGAACGGGTAGGGGGCAGCCACCTTAGGGGCGCGCGAATTGTACTCAATCTCCTTGTAGCAGAACTGCTTCAGATCCTGAATATTAGCAGGGTTACCGACTGCTTTGGCAAATAGTTCCCCCTGTTAAAACTTTAAGAAGATGACAACTGTTCTCCGCTAATGAATTTATCATTTCTTCGAAGCCCTATTTCTCTGCTAACTGGTAGTGGTTTACTGAAAGTGTCCTGCACACAGCTCAAGTGCAGTACTATTGCTCAATAAATAAGATATCAGAACACTTATAAAACCTCGTATAAGTTGAAGAGTCTGAGAGATTTAGCGTATTTCCTGTCGTCCTCCAGCAGGCTAAAGTAGTCCTGCTTCCCTCCATCAAAACATTTCCAGAACTGCTTCCCCTCGCTTCCCTCCTGAACTTCCAGAACAGTAGGTTTATCATTACAAGTAACCCGCTGGGCCAGTTTGTTAGCAGCACTGAAGGAGCCGGCTACGGTGTGAGCTCTACTCTTACACCCGTGCCACACGTAAAACATCGTCTCTCCGTCCTGGATTATAAAGGAGCCTCGTGATCTCAGACTGGAGCTCCTGAGGAACAGACTGTTTTAAAGTTGTTAACTTGGGTACCTTACTATGTTGGCACACTATCTTCTTATCTACATTTGTTCTAATCATAGCTTCAACATTTAACACTTGAATTGGGATGCGTAATAGTCACAATAATAATACACTCACGTAATGTTGGGGAGTTCGGTTAGAGAACCCTCTTTTTCCACTTCCCCACGGTACAGGAACATTCTCCTTCTCTTATCAGCGGAACCCTGGTCACTTATCTGCAATTAGTGAGACATAAAACTTAGAACTTATCTGTTATTAGTGAGACATAAAACTTAGAACTTATCTGCAATTAGTGAGACATAAAACTTAGAACTTATCTGCAATTAGTGAGACATAAAACTTAGAACTTATCTGCAATTAGTGAGACATAAAACTTAGAACTTAACTGCAATTAGTGAGACATAAAACTTAGAACTTATCTGCAATCAGTGAGACATAAAACTTAGAATTTATCTGCAATTAGTGAGACATAAAACTTAGAACTTAACTGCAATTAGTGAGACATAAAACTTAGAACTTATCTGCAATTAGTGAGACATGAAACTTAGAACTTATCTGTTATTAGTGAGACATAAAACTTAGAACTTATCTGCAATTAGTGAGACATAAAACTTAGAACTTATCTGCAATTAGTGAGACATAAAACTTAGAACTTATCTGCAATTAGTGAGACATAAAACTTAGAACTTATCTGCAATTAGTGAGACATAAAACTTAGAACTTAACTGCAATTGGTGAGACATAAAACTTAGAACTTATCTGTTATTAGTGAGACATAAAACTTAGAACTTATCTGTTATTAGTGATAGACTTAGAGAGACTTCCTGCTGGAGTGTAAAAAAAGAAATGTAAATATTTTAAATCCCACATGAACAGTGTGTTGAGTATAGATGCGAGTTAACAGTACCTTTCCTTTGAAAGTAACCATAGAACCATCGAAGATCTGCAAGAAGGCTGGAGGTTCAGTTGACTGATCTAGTTGTATCTGAAATTGAAAACATTTAAGTTTACAGATAATTCTTGTACTTCTAGTGGATACTAATAATGATCCCGTCAGGTTGAAGAAACGTTATTGAAGTTCAGCAAACATTGAGAACTAGAATTTAGCACCTTGTAAGAATGACAGATTCTTAACAATCAACACACCGTTAAAGTTATGTACAATTTCCACAGAGACTAAGGTAAACAGACATTACAGTACACCCTGTATTCACAGCAATATAATATAAATACCCAAAATAGCATCCCTTAACAATGCGCATAATAAAGACTTGTTTATTATAAGACAAATCGGCAGTCATTAGCATAATTAGCAGTCATTAGCATAATACAAAATTAAACCGTATGCTCTACTACTATTGCACTAGAAATCTATATAACCCCTCCTGGTCGTTCCTTTACAGCTATAGTTACACGTCCTATTAGCGATGCTTTTTGAAGTGACTTCAACACATAATTTCAACATTTTATAGAGCTGTTTGTTATGACCAATTTTCATTCCGATTGGAAGGATCTGATAAGAATTGTAATTCAGCTACTTTTGGTTTTAGTTTAATTACTAATTACTACTTTTGGTTTTAGTTTAATTACTAATTACTACTTTTGGTTTTAGTTTAATTACTAGTTAGCTAGCTTACCTGTGGAGCTCTCTCGGAATCCACTCTGACAGTAAGAAAAGCAGATTTTCCCTTTTCTTTGATTGAACAGTCTGCGCCTTGCCAGAAGAAGAATGCAGCCCTGTCTCGGCCTGTGTCGTGGTCTTGCTTCTTACCTCCTGAGTAGATAAGAGGGTTTAATAATAGTGTAATTTACTAGGAGTTAAATAGTACATTATTACTTCGACTCCAAGCTCTTTACTGAATTTTATACTGTCAGGAACATTGCTATATTATGTATCTTAATATTCATGAAAATTACTGCCATATATTTTCAGCTATAAGATAGGATAATATAGCATTATGTATCACACGCTCAGACACAAAACAAGATCAAATTCACACTGCATCAGAATCGTCTGATTATTTGTAAATAGTTTCAGTAAACAACGAGGTTAAAACAATTAACAATCGATTGAAACTGTTATCAGCGGTTTCCTTCACAACTAATCTCACGGACATACGTCTTATCTCATTTTGAATGTATCTGACTCTCATTGAAGCTGACATGTCTACGTCTGCACAAAGATTTATGATTTTGTAGATGCCCTCGCTGCAAAGTAGCAGAAATATGCTAACCAATATCACTGTTTTATTAAAGTTAAAAGTTAATATTACCTTGCATGACCCGGTAGGCCCATCTGATGATGAATGATTCCCCTGAGTACAGTTCACCGTACAGATCTTTAGGGTACCTGCAATTTAGCCGTGTTTATCAATTAATTAATCGATTATGTAAAATAGAGCGGGACGACTTTCTTAAAAAGGAGAATCAGACTCATTCAAGTAACAACCAAAAGGAGGGATACATTTGTTCTGATAATTGATATGTAAAATGTATGTATCCTGTCTGATTTTAGAAAGCGTGCGGGCTGTATTGAAGATGCCGATTGCCCTGGCATCCTTCTACTGACCATTGAAACATGTCATGTGAAAATTAGAGAATTCGCCTATTAGAAATGGACTGAAGAAATTCTGACCACATTGACGAGGAATTTTCTCTTCCAAAATTATGTGTAACACAGTTTGAAGGGGTATCAGTTAATTTGGCTAAAATATACTTTGTGATTTAAATGCGAGTGGTCAGATCACCATTTTGGGGCGTACGGTGCTAACAATACCGTCCTAGGGTTATATCTTCAGTATGAATATGATAACGGTACTTGTAGGAGTTTATATTGTAAGCAGAGTAGTTGACTCTGCAGGGGCACTCGGCTACTTTGGGTCTCTAAAGTTACTAAAGTTACTAAAGTTACTAAAGTTACTCACTCTTCGTAACTGTTATCAGTAATCCTCCACATCTCTACACTTCTGGTTTCCACATCGTGTCCAAATATGTCCTGCAACGATCACTTTTTATTAGAACAGGGGGGGGGGGGGGGTTCTTTAAACATATAAATAATATTTCACAAGCTTCTCAGCTTCTGTTGAAAGCTTCTGTTTATACTATACAAGCATAAGTAGCCTAGAAGCTTTTAAAAACATGTGTTTATCGTCTTCACCTTTTATTAGAGCCTATAATAATCTAGCTCACAGTATCTTATACGCCAAAATTGTAAAATTATTTTTAAATTGATTTCCCGAACGTTACTGTAACAGTTCAAAGTGATTCGTATAGTTGGATTTAAATCTTGTTAACGTGTTAGTATTTTGTAATTGTCGCTGTTTGACAGCGTATTCGGACGATATATCCTTCAGTCTTCACAAAGATTGATTGTTATTTGTAGACCACAATAAATGAAACTTCTAACTTATATACGTGAACTAAATTCCATGTTTCCAACCTTGAAAAGATCAGTAGGTACTCCGTCTCCTCTGCCTACATCAGTCATCTCGAGCACAAGCCCAGCAGGAGTCTCAGGAAGAGGGGCTCTCATCTGCTCAGCATCACAAGGTTCCATGTCTACAAATGTTATCGTGTCCTGGAATAAAGGCTCGTTAAGCAGACCAAACACAGGGGACAAATAAAGTGGTCGCAATGTAACTCCACACTTAAAACGCACCTCGAGCGATGACAAGTTTAAACAATGATAATACTGTGAATGATAAAATTTGGTTTCAAGATAAATTGTCTGCACGAGTTTTTACAATCATTAAGTGGATTTTATTGTCCATGTGGAATTAATGGCGATTAGAAACGCTACGCATCTGTATAACTATAAATAAAACAAGAGAAAAATTCTGTCGCTTCACAATTCACTGCAAAGTACAAATCAACACCCACATGTTCAATGTAAAAATTATAAGATACTGTGAGAACCGTTTATTAAACAGTTCCAACAATATTTCCAATGAAAAAACCCCACAATATGTCCAATAAGTACAATTCCCTCTTGCCCTACCATATACATACGGGCTCTCTCCATTTGACTCATCTCACTTTCACTCTAAATCATAATGTTCGCTATAAAAGCAAGTTTACAAAAAGAGTCTATCATCAAGGAGATAAATGAAAGTAGTTAGGTAATAGCTATTAGAAAGGAGACAAAAACCAAACCAACCTTCTTAGGAGCACAAGGGTTTTTAACCTTGAGCACATTCAAAGCGTTCACGTCAGGCCAGTCTTTGAACTTCTCCTGGGTTAGGGAATAATTAGGAATTGTATAATTGTTGAACTGTTTATATTTGAATTTATGTGCATATATCGACCTAACTTGATGCAAGTCTGACCTTTCGAGTGAGCAAATTGAATAAATTCATTAAGCTGGCAGTACTGCTTTGAGTTTAGAGGCAATTTGTATTTTCTCAATATCTAACTCTACAAACCCTGAAGAGAGAGTGCTCCAGGCCCCCTGCAATCCTCTGGAATATACCCCAGGAAGGTCTCGGCCTGGAATCCCAGATCTGTCGCCCGGCTATCATTGCGTTCTTCCTGGCACCCCTGTCTGCACTACGTCCGATCCAAACGTAAACCTCTGGTCCGTAGTCCATGCAGTAGATCTGAAGGGCAAGGAGGGGTAAGATACGAGTAACTTTTAGAGGGGTAAGATACGAGTAACTTTAAGAGGGGTAAGATACGAGTAACTTTAAGAGGGGTAAGATACGAGTAACTTTAAGAGGGGTAAGATACGAGTAACTTTTAGATGGGTAAGATACAAGTAACTTTAAGAGGGGTAAGGTACGAGTAACTTTTAGAGGGGTAAAATACGAGTAACTTTAAGAGGGGTAAGGTACGAGTAACTTTAAGAGGGGTAAGGTAAGAGTAACTTTAAGAGGGGTAAAGTTGGTGCGAGTAACTTTAAGAGGGGTAAGATACGAGTAACTTTAAGAGGGGTAAGGTAAGAGTAACTTTAAGAGGGGTAAGATACGAGTAACTTTTAGATGGGTAAGATACAAGTAACTTTAAGAGGGGTAAGGTACGAGTAACTTTAAGAAGGGTAAGATACGAGTAACTTAAAGAGGGGTAAGGTACGAGTAACTTTTAGAGGGGTAAGGAACGAGTAACTTTTAGATGGGTAAGATACAAGTAACTTTAAGAGGGGTAAGGTACGAGTAACTTTAAGAGGGGTAAGATACGAGTAACTTTAAGAGGGGTAAGATACGAGTAACTTTTAGATGGGTAAGATACGAGTAACTTTAAGAGGGGTAAGGTACGAGTAACTTTAACCCATTAGGGACGACGAGTTTTAAAGTTTGCCGATTTTGATGCCGTTTAACACACTAGGTCACTTTACAGCAAAAATGAGATATCCAAAAAAGCTAATCTGTATCTCGTTTACTTTAAAAGATACAGCTATGGTCGCATACGACCCACTCGTCCGGGTCGCAAACGACCCATCACGGTTTTTCGGCTTTAACTTCTGAAACAAAGACGTTAGGATAAAATAAAATAAAAAGCATAAGTTAAAAACATATGGTCAATACTGTGTGACTCTAACTTATTAAAAATAAAGAATTTGGGTCATTAACGACCCACTCGGCTCACTTGCTTATTACTACATATGTCCATGTAACTTCTTGAATTCAGCCTAAAGCATGACATCATAAGTTCAAAATCGCCTCTCAGCTTCTTAGGGGCCGTTCATATATTACGTAATCACTTATTGGACAATTTTTACGCCCCCCTCCCCCCCCCCCCCCACCACATAGCTATTATGTCAAAATTACACAAGCTTAATCATTTGGAAACTCCCCTCCCTCTCGGCCGATTACGTAATACTTGTTTTCGTTTTGAAAGCTGCCTCGTTGTTGCGGGGTTTGTTACCCAAAACGAGGTAGTTGTCTGAGAGATTGCAGGTTGCAGCACCGCCAGCCAAATGGGGGGGGGGGGGGGGGGGGGGGGGGGGGGGCTTTTTCCTTGTCCTTCTTCACAGAGCTGTAGATGTAGCCATCTGAATGCAGCAGTTGTTTAGTTATTCTCGTACTTTCTAGGAATGAAAAAAACATATTGGCATGTTGGATTAGAATATGCAATTTGACCACAAGGTTACATGATATCTCGTATACTTCGTTCAGGGGATTTTCTTGAGTGACATGATCTGATCACCGTGGGACCCTGGGTCTCAAGCGGTGGGTTGTAGCAGGTCGTTTACCAAGATTCGAAATTGACGAAAAAGGTAACAGAATCTAATAAGCAACAACAACAGCAAGGCTATTACCTAGCAAGTTAGGAACGAGGGCCGATTCCTTTTCTTTTGCGGCACGGCCACGGTCCTTTCGGTACAGATTTCCACGCACCATAGTATTATAGTCAGGACGCAACTCCAGGCATATGCAGTAGTGTTATTCTCGCAGCTCTTTGATGAGTGATGACGGCCCTTCAGTTGGCCCTGGATCTCAGAAGGGCTAGTAGTCAGCCACCCGTGGTTTGCGTGGAATTAAGACCTACGAGTGTCTTTCTTGATGGTGGAACAGCATGATACTGATAATAATTGATGAGGTGGTTCAACTTCCGAGTGGGTCGTTATTGACCCAGTTGATCGATTTTAAAAGTTAAATCAACGTACAGGAGTAATGACCAAGATATAACATGTTTTTATACTAATATTTTTAAAAGTTTGACAACATTATATTTAATTAATCGATTTTGTGGTCCTAGTGGGTCGCTAATGACCCATTTAACCGATTTTTCGCAGTTTATGATGATTATCACTTGCTGAGAGGCGATTTTGAACTTATGATGTCATGCTTTAGGCTGAATTCAAGAAGTTACATGGACATATGTAGTAATAAGCAAGTGAGCCGAGTGGGTCGTTAATGACCCAAATTCTTTATTTTTAAAAGGTTAGAGTTACACAGTATTGACCATATGTTTTTAACTTATGCTACAGTTTTTATTTTATCCTAACGTCTTTGTTTCAGAAGTTAAAGCCGAAAAACCGTGATGGGTCGTTTGCGACCCGGACGAGTGGGTCGTATGCGACCGCAGTTAGTAAACAGCGTCTAGCTCTGTTTGTGAACATCTGATTATCACGGGCTTTTCATATGTCTCAAGGAAATCGTTGCCCGCAACTATTTTGTCCTCAACAAAATAAGCCTACATAAAGTTTTAATGTCCCAATCAAGGCAAGAAGTAAAGTGAAATATTTTCCAATTATGACGACTAATTAGCCTAATTATTTAGTTGTTAGTAATTAATTGGGTCTCGACTGGAAAGTCAATAATGTAGCCCAATAAATTTTGAGCATATGTGCGAAAGATTCGTTGCGTTTAGTATTATGGTTTGTCCTCTATAGCCTCTAGAAAAGGTGGGTCGTAAACGACCCTATCGTCCCTAATGGGTTAAGAGGGGTAAGATACGAGTAACTTTAAGAGGGGTAAGATACAAGTAACTTTAAGAGGGGTAAGATATGAGTAACTTTAAGAGGTGTAAAATACGAGTAACTTTAAGAGGGGTAAGATACGGGTAACTTTAAGAGGGGTAAGATATGAGTAACTTTAAGAGGGGTAAGATACGAGTAACTTTAAGAGGGGTAAGATACGAGTAACTTTAAGAGGGGTAAGATACGAGTAACTTTAAGAGGGGTAAGATACGAGTAACTTTAAGAAGGGTAAGATACGAGTAACTTTAAGAGGGGTAAGATACGAGTAACTTTAAGAAGGGTAAGATACGAGTAACTTTTAGATGGGTAAGATACGAGTAACTTTAAGAGGGGTAAGATACGAGTAACTTTAAGAGGGGTAAGATACGAGTAACTTTAAGAGGGGTAAGATACGAGTAACTTTAAGAAGGGTAAGATACGAGTAACTTTTAGATGGGTAAGATACGAGTAACTTTAAGAGGGGTAAGATACGAGTAACTTTAAGAGGGGTAAGATACAAGTAACTTTAAGAGGGGTAAGATATGAGTAACTTTAAGAGGTGTAAAATACAAGTAACTTTAAGAGGGGTAAGATACGGGTAACTTTAAGAGGGGTAAGATATGAGTAACTTTAAGAGGGGCAAGATACGAGTAACTTTAAGAGGGGTAAGATATGAGTAACTTTAAGAGGGGTAAGATACGGGTAACTTTAAGAGGGGTAAGATATGAGTAACTTTAAGAGGGGCAAGATACGAGTAACTTTAAGAGGGGTAAGATATGAGTAACTTTAAGAGGGGTAAGATACGAGTTACTTTAAGAGGGGTAAGATACGAGTAACTTTAAGAGGGGTAAGATACGGGTAACTTTAAGAGGGGTAAGATACGAGTAACTTTAAGAGGGGTAAGATATGAGTAACTTTAAGAGGGGCAAGATACGAGTAACTTTAAGAGGGGTAAGATAGGAGTAACTTTAAGAGGGGTAAGATACGAGTTACTTTAAGAGGGGTAAGATACGAGTAACTTTAAGAGGGGTAAGATACGGGTAACTTTAAGAGGGGTAAGGTACGAGTAACTTTTAGAGGGGTAAGATACGAGTAACTTTTAGATGGGTAAGATACGAGTAACTTTAAGAGGGGTAAGATACGAGTAACTTTAAGAGGGGTAAGATACAAGTAACTTTAAGAGGGGTAAGATACGAGTAACTTTAAGAGGTGTAAAATACGAGTAACTTTAAGAGGGGTAAGATACGGGTAACTTTAAGAGGGGTAAGATATGAGTAACTTTAAGAGGGGCAAGATACGAGTAACTTTAAGAGGGGTAAGATAGGAGTAACTTTAAGAGGGGTAAGATACGAGTTACTTTAAGAGGGGTAAGATACGAGTAACTTTAAGAGGGGTAAGATACGGGTAACTTTAAGAGGGGTAAGGTACGAGTAACTTTTAGAGGGGTAAGATACGAGTAACTTTTAGATGGGTAAGATACGAGTAACTTTAAGAGGGGTAAGATACGAGTAACTTTAAGAGGGGTAAGATACAAGTAACTTTAAGAGGGGTAAGATACGAGTAACTTTAAGAGGTGTAAAATACGAGTAACTTTAAGAGGGGTAAGATACGGGTAACTTTAAGAGGGGTAAGATATGAGTAACTTTAAGAGGGGCAAGATACGAGTAACTTTAAGAGGGGTAAGATATGAGTAACTTTAAGAGGGGTAAGATACGAGTTACTTTAAGAGGGGTAAGATACGAGTAACTTTAAGAGGGGTAAGATACGGGTAACTTTAAGAGGGGTAAGATACGAGTAACTTTAAGAGGGGTAAGATACGAGTTACTTTAAGAGGGGTAAGGTACGAGTTACTTTAAGAGGGGTAAGGTACGAGTAACTTTAAGAGGGGTAAGATTTTGGTGCGAGTAACTTGTCTACTTCTAGTAGGTCTATTTATTGTTTCTTTATCTTTTTGCGGCCCTTTTCGCGGCCACGGTAAAGAGAAAGCACGTTTAACTTTGTCAACTGGACACAACATGGTAAAATCTTAGATTAAGGTCAATCCTAGACAACTTTAATCATAAACATAGTTGTTGAGGTGCCCTAAAAGAAAGCACCGTTAGTATATATTTGCGGGTACCAGGGTGTAATCTTGATCTCAGTGTCTGTGCGAATTGAGCTGTAACTGTATGACACTGATCTACCTTTGACAGTAAACCACGCGCATTCGAATGAAGCACTAGAATGAGTTAAAACCCTCACTTTTTATCAAAACTTATACTGGACCTCTAAACTAACTAAACAATTCTACTCTACCGATTTGCTGATCTCCGGAGTCATGTAAACCTTGTACAGTTTGAAAAATTAAAGTTTTGTTGTCAATCGTTGATAAGATTTTAGAAATATAGAAATGTCTACTTATACTGTGGTTCTCGAGTAATTAGCAAAAATCTATATGCTTAAAACGCAAGTCAATCTACTGCAAATAAATGTAGAATTCTCTCGAAAATTTTACTGTTGAAGGCAATCATTATAACATTAGAGTAATTACTCTACAAACACTTTAATCGCCCGCCTGGAAATTGTCTATTTGTTTACACTCCCCGATAATAACTCTGCAATTTCTCTCTTCCTTTTCTGAACAGTCGTCATTCTTTGACAAAGATCTGGACGCACAAGTGCAAGCATTAGTGCCAGGATTTTTACTGGGAGTGCTATCTAGTTTTGCTTATATATCATTACAGCTGGCTGCCTCTGCTCTCCGCTTTTTTTCCGTTTCATTAGTTTATTTTACATTTTAACATGCTCTCCGCTTTTTTCCGTTTCATTAGTTTATTTTACATTTTGCATGCTTTTACTAATTCACTCGCCAGTGCGCTGTCACGTGATTTGGGTTTTTACCGTTTTGTAACCGAACAAAACGGCCTCACGGCTCACCGAAACCCGAAACTCTAACCCCACCCTAAGTATAACACCAAAGCTAACCATACCATTGACTGCAACTCTAACCCGAGCCCTAAACAATCGAATTCGTCTTTTACTAGCCTGTCACGTGACCAAAAATGTTTTTGTTCATGGGTAAGTTGTAATGTTAACATAAAAGCAGCATTTCTTTTCAGCTGGTCCCCTAACTTTTGGCCGTGGTAACAAGAGGTCAAGTCTGATGAAAAGCTTTTAAGAGGTATGTTTGGGTATAAAAAGTAGCCCAAAAGCTACTATATCAGATAGGGGGGGGGGGGGGGGGTTTAGCTGAACTGACCTGAGAATCCTTTAACCGGTGGTGCTTGAGTCGTTTACCACTGAGTTCAGGAACCATGGTAAAGTCCTTCATCTCCTCGTCCAACACGTACCCTACGTTAGCTCCGTTCTGTTCCTTTTCGTACTCTTCATCGTCTACTAGTTTCTCTGTGGAGAACATTGTAGAAAGGGGGGGGGGGGGGGGGGGGGGGGATAAGTTACCTTCCACTACCTGAGAATTCACTAAGGGAACTTTCACTTCTTAAATAAGAAGATAATTATGGCCAGCAAGTTTCCACGAAAAAAATTTTCTGATCAGCGTTGATAATCGCTTATTAAGCGATTCTAAAGCGCTTTTTTTAAAGATCAGAAAATTTCTTTTGTGGAAACTTGCCTTATATACCTGTACGTGCAAACCAGTTTAACGTTCAAAAAGTAAAGACGTTCCGGTGCCGGTCAAAATTGGCTACAATTGGAATCACAGTCCCGGTTCCAGCCAAAAAGCGGTCCCGGTCGATCCTTGATAGCGTTCTTATTATGACGTTATCCCCACTCCCCATTTCAAACTCTTAGATTTGGAAAGCATGAAGGGCGAGTAACAGATGTTAGGATTGCTCATTTTACTATTTCAACCGACCAGCTGGGGACAAAATGGGGAGATTGTTTTTTGTACACGGATACCATTCCACCACTGTTATTTGTTTTCTGTGTCATAACCACTACATAGCTCAACACTATTATATTATTCAATATGCCTCATACTAATGATACATTAGCTGGATCTTGTAAATGGGACACGTTAGTAGGAGTAGAAAGAGGGTAATATGTAATCAATAAATGTTTTTGCCATGAAACGGACCAAACTGATCCTAACTCATATTCCACTCATCATAGCATATCGCTTCAGCATGTACAAAGGGCATTTAACCTCAATCAGTTTAATGTAGTGAAATGACTGGTGTGAATGAAGTAGTGTACTAATACAAGTTGGAGAGGATCAGGTAAGCTTAGTCAGCATCCATGATGTTACAAACCCTCTGGGACATTACTGCGCCCAGTCTCCAAAGTTACAGTAAATTCCTACTACGGACAAACAAACACAGACAAAACACCAACAAGAAACTGATATACACTAGCTAGCTCAGAGAGGAAATGAGTACCGGCTCAGGAGGTATGTCAAAACAGGGCGCCCTTTCGAACACTACTCGGGCTAGAATCAGTGCAATTCGGACACTACTATGCAACTGAACCATGCAAAACTATATAAGTACACCTATGCTGGCAAGGCAATAGGTCAGACTGCCAGGGTAATATGTAGTATGAAGTTGCTTTCTAAGATACCTAAGAACTGAATTTTTCAGTTTTAAAAGATTTTTAGAATTTGAAAGCATCAGGTAAGGATACTTAGCAATCTCCGATATCAGATTCTAACTGAATTTGAAAACACGTTAATGTCCTTCATAAACTCACCGGAAACCTCTTCGTTTTCGTTTTGGATCTTGAGATGTTTATTGAAGTGTCTTATGAGATAACTTCCTCTGACTTGTTCCAACACTGTTACCTAGCAACAAGTCTTTGTTAGGCTCGTAGAGTAGCAATTAATCACAATATTACCATTATCATCTTTCTTGTTATTTTGTGAGAAGTTCGTTAAACTAGTTAATTTCCATTAGGTCTATCATATTATGTTCATTAAGTTGGTTAAATTAGTGTTAGGTTTACCTTATCAGCCATGCACTTGAACTCTCTAGCGACGGTGATAGCAGTAACAAGTTCTGTTCCCTTGCTCTTCTTCAAGACGGAGGCGTGTTTACCATTGAACTGGTAGAGAGTGTTAGGGGTGATCAGTAAGAAGGTCTCATAACTATTCAGGGAGCTGAAGTGAGGGGCTACCAGCCGGGTCTGCATACTCTGCTTACCTGGAGAGAAGGGGGTATTAGGGGGTTATTGAGGGGTATAAGTAGGGTGTATAAAGGGAGCTGAAGTGAGGGGCTACCAGCCGGGTCTGCATACTCTGCTTACCTGGAGAGAAGGGGGTATTAGGGGGTTATTGAGGGGTATTAGTAGGGAGGGGGGGGGGGGGTATAAAGGGGGTTGTTGCTTTAAAGGTCAGGGTTACTAATACGATTCTGAGTAAAAGTTACGACACGATTACAAATTAAAGTTTACAATTACACACTTGGTTTACACAAGTTAACTCTAGTTTACCTTTGATCTGCACTAAGACAGTATCATGGAGTTGTTCTCTCCCTCCAGCTACTTCTTTAACTGCTTTCTGTGTGTGTCCTTTGTTTAGTTTTACTTTAGAATAGTCCTCTGTTGCTTGTAATGCGTCTACTGCTTCGTTAGCAAGACCTGTAGACGGAGAATGGTTCATTTTATAGTTAATCTACGTCAATCAAAATTCGTTAAAATGATTTATAAACATACGTTCATACACGACATATCCTCTGTGACACGCGTTACTGATACTGTGACACGTCTACTGTCACTGTGGCACGTGTGACTTAAACCAATAAAAGTAAATGATCGTGGTCAATCATCGCACCTGTCACTGTCACTACATGTAAGGTCCTAGTTGTCATGGCACCCTGCTCGGTCCGACCTATCACGTGACAGTTTAGTGCCGGTTTGACCTCCTCATTTCCTAACGGTCACTTAAAGACCGTTTAAGCAGGCCCCAGTTTTAGGTCTTTATAGAAATTACAGGGGGCTGCAATGCGAGTATGAAGACCCTGACATCTGAATTAGGACGGTCAGCTGGGTTTTGCTATATGTGGGGTCACTGAGCCGTGCACTGCAGTTCTAACAGCTCCTCGGAGTTCTGATCACTCCTTTCACCCAGTAAAACTAATGGTAGGGATTCTGATAGATACAACGATTGCTAAGATGTTCGATGATGTTTCTCAGTGAACAGCTTATGTAATCCGAATATTAATCAAGAACCACGAATGTTGTTCGTTACAATCTATCTGGTCACCAGTTGCACATGATCATTACACAATATGTCATCTCACAAGTTGACAAGTTATCGACGTATCTTACATCAGAGATCATATACAGTCTCATCTACTTTCGATATCTTTAATGAACCTGTCATAAATAACATTTCCCGATCACACAGGTTATCTTGCTCGGAGACTTACGTTCACAAACATTTGCCTCCGATGTGTGTCTTCAATTTATCATTTGTTATCGATTTTATGATTGAAATGTCACGATCATTGCAGCTCATCATAGTTCACTACTTGTTATGCGACTTCAACTTTCACTTTGTTGTTAAAACGTTTATTATTATTAAACGATTTAGAAACAGGATATTTTCGCGAATCGTCTAGGCCGGTTAGCTTAGTGCTTAAATAATGAGACTACCGAGTAAAGGAAAGCATGTAAATCTCCAATTTAACAATAATAACATCAGATAGCGGTTAATGGGCAGGTGAACCATACTGTTTTATCAGTCACGTGACAGAGGTTAACCGATCAGCTTCCAGCACGCTGACCAATAAAAACCCAGTATCTTTGTCACGTTTACTGGGCCGCGCTCAGCCTGTCATTCCGCCTAATCTCTATTATGTTTGTAAACATGATAGCCTGAGGTCCCCAGGTAATGTCACGTGTAAGAACAAATACGGTTCACCTCGCCTTCAGTATCCAGATCTATTAAACTATCAACACTCAACTTTATAACTGGAATTTAACATTATCATAAAATTAATTCATCTCTTTGTTAAACATGGAAATCCTTGAAATCAGGATAATTAAGATAATTAGAACCCATAATTTTGCTAGAAATGTTGATAGTAGTTTCCAGATTTATATCTACAATCTCGTGACCTGTGACCTACAACAAATATAATGGTGCGCGTGATTGAGGTGAAAGTTTGTCACTTTGTGCCTGACAAGTGACAACTAATATAACTAGCTGTAAAATCGCTCTGTTATAGCAATCTCTCTTTGAGACCTTTCTCATGACATTTAATCATGAAGTGTCCCCGTTGTACCGCTCCTATAGGGACTTTATATAGGAACTTTGGAAAGGTTTATATTTCTTATAATGAAGATCTGACAGTATTCTGCTGGTTTTAAACTGTGGGGCACTATATCATCATCCTGTAACGTCAATTCATCTTTGACATATCGATTAAATCTTAATGTCCACCGCAACACGTGCATCCTAGTAAGAGTATAAGGGGACCCCGGTAATCGCCGCTTTCAAAACAACACTAGTCTGTTTATTAGTTGCTGAGGCCACATAATTTAGGATATTCTCCTGGGCACTCTGTAAATGACCCTATCTAAGTCTCATAGCTAAACCACTGCAATAATGTCCAGTCTTCTTCCAAGACAAACATCAACAGACGATCCAATCTAGGCAGCATAGCTTTGAATTTAGCGGATACTTCACAACGTCAACATCTCAGTATCACACAGGCTATGTTCACTTAACCGTTCCTGTTTATTGATCCTAAAAGGTTTGGGACTCTTCATTGGTCGCATGTTAACAATAGTACGATTGGTAGAACGACTCGTATATTAACTCCTGCTCAGAACAGTCACGTACTAACGGAGTCCAACTCTCCGACATGCTAATTTCATTTCGAGAGACCCGCAGCGCGGAGGGCAGTGCTGACGTGCCGGCCCCGCGACGTAAGCCAATTTCATCAGTGGGATCGTATACGAACAGCTTTGTCTACTTTTATTGTTGTAATTGTTGCCAGTTCTTTCTCTTATATTTCCGGAAAATTAAAGAGTCGATAGTCATACTCGTACTCATAGCCATATGTAAAGAACTGTTAAATTATCTGACTGCCTATGTTTGACGTTGAGTGATACTGATGCTACGTAAAACTTTACGTAAAATAGGAAAAAAATTGTTATTTTAAATGGCGACTTTTTCAGAAATATAACACGCCCATTTTCGTTTTCAAAATAAAATGTCAATAATAACGGACGTCGGACCTCTACTAAGCTTTCTAGTCTTGTCCGGATTTCCACGATGCTTGGTTATTTAATTCTAAGACCATACACGTCAGCGTTATGCGTATTAACACAATATTATGAATATATTAATAGTTGAGATTAATGGTAGAGTTCCCACCTTTGTTGTTGCTTGTATCTCTCTTCTTCCCCAGAGGTGTAGGACTAGGTCGGGGACTCATACCGTCTAGATCCGCCGCCTTCGAGAGTCCTGGTCCCAGATCTGAAAATATGTTTAGTTACTCGCTATTGCAGATTACGTGTTCTGGACTTAAGTAATATAATCTTTCGTTTTATGTTGTATGGTTATTGGAAAATTTAGTTGAAAGTTAGAATACGTTTTTACACCGTAATTTCTCTTAAATTAGGGAAAGTTTCACTGCGAATATTTTAATCGAAACACTTGATTATATAGAGTTAAATAGAAATACCAAAGCAATAAATTGCTCATAAGCTAAATTAAAATTGTATTTTATCTTAGTTGCATCAAGACAACCTTTTAACACCACCAAAATAAAGTATTAACCGTAAGGATCACGACTGAGGGCATGCCTTCCCACCAGTTATATCATTACTGAGAAACTCGTTATAAAACTTCAAATAAGCACCCCAGACATTTGACATGACGTCGCGAAGCATTATTACAGCAAATCAGCAGTGATATTATACGCTTCATTTAAGTTCGAGGTAACTTTAGGGTGATCAGGTGCTATTGAGTACTACTGAGTGCTACTGAATGCTACAAAGCAGCTGATTTCTAGTTGAGAATTTGGACCCCCGCGAAGGTGTGACCCCCCTGTACGTTTTCATTGTATTTTCTTTGTTATTAGATGCATATTATCAATATGCTTTCTGCTACGGTTCTGCCTGATAAACGTTAATAACCATGAGTCAATAGACTTATTATCAGGTCGCATCTGTATTTAATGATCAGCAAGCTGACTGCGAGGTTTTTGATTGGATATATTTTGACCGATTGGTTAGTATTTCTCCTAGTTTCATAGCAAGATATTCATTTTGAAGATAAGTAGTTGTTAGGTAAATTTTATCTAAAACATCATATTTTGCTAACTCTTACCTGATTGTGTTACAGAGATTGTAAGTGTTATCTTTAACAACATTCTAACAAACTGTTTAGTTCAATCTAACGGCGATGTCGAATATTTGTTCTATTTTCAATGAGGCACTACTGCTTCCACTGCGCACTTAAAAAAGAGATCACAATAAAAAGGAGGCTGCCCCTTATTATTAAAAGTTCTTATGGGGTAGAAGAATACACTGCAATAGTAAGGGCAGGGTATAAGTAAAGCTACTTATCAGCCCCGATGAAGCTGAACGAGAAGGTAACTATAAAACAGTCTACACAGACTATTTAAACGAGCTGTAGAAAGTGAAGGTGATTTACGTGTGATGTGGCTGACCTGGTTTATGTTATAGTGACGTGTCTCCCTAATAGCGATACCCTTCAGCACTACCAACTACAAGCTATATATTGTCTTCAGTAGTAGTCATCACTAACTGCAGGCTAACTGCAGGCTAACTGCAGGCTAACTGCAGGCTAACTGCAGGCTAACTGCAGGCTTTATACATATTGTGTGTTATACTGTACAATACAGGTCCAAAATCTCACCATATCACTACAGCAGACTAAGCTATACACCTAGGTCCTATCTATATACATATATATATATACATATCACCGGAGACTCGCGGGCGGAACAAAATATTGCACGCGCACGCGCGTGCAATATTTCATATGTCCCCGAGGGCGCTAGCCCGAGGAGGACATATTTTCGTATAGCACGGAGGGCCCATCGGGCCCGAGTGCTATACGATTTTTCCGCCCGCAGGTCGAGGTGATGTGGATTATATCCACCAGCGGGCGTTTTACAGTTAATATATAATCTTATAAATAAACAATGGAGCTTGTATAAAAGTCAACTCTAGAAAAGGTCACCACTAATTGTTGTGACCATGGTAACACGTCACGTGTTCAATGTAAGCCAATCATAAAGGGCTGTGTCGTATATAGGGGCTGGAGATAAGAGATCCATACTGGAACTGCATTCCTGGGCCGTGAGAATAATGAATGTAATGTCAGTGACGATGAATATCAACATTCAACAATAGGGGGATTATTATAGTGCTGATGTGTATTATATGTAGTGTGTTATAATAACTTTGATATAAATCAAAGTATCATGTCATCTGCTCACGAGCTGCATGAGCAGCCCTACTACCGGACACAAAAATAAAATATATATATCTCCGTGCTATGAAAATATTTTAGAGAACTCCGGGCTATATTGCTACTGGTCAAATTAAATGTCACTTGTTAGCGGGCTATATCATGAGCAGGCTGTAGAGATATCGGGCCCTTCGACAGCGGGCTGGTGAGAGCCCGCTATGCGAAAAAGCGCACGCTGGTGGATATAATGCTATACAGTATAGACCTAGCTATACATACCATATAATATATTGCTATAAGGTTGACTACTTTTAGCACATAATGCTAAATATATAGCAGCATATCATCAAGATACGATCGTTGCATGTTCAGGGTTATTCACGTGCAGGACCTAACCCTGAATCTTGGATCATGTTTTAATAACACAGTCACGTGATGTGACGTCACGACACGTGTGATATTACAGGTAACCAGGTAACCAGGTCACGTGATATAACAGTTATCCAGGTAACCAGGTCACGTGATATAACAGGTATCCAGGGTGACAAAACCGTCAGATATTTTCTATTTTTACCGTGATAGAAAGAGGTTTTTATCACAGCAATAAGAATACAGTGTAAGACTAAAAACAGACTAAGGGCTGAGTTACCTTTGTTAAAGCGCTGATCATGGCGCGGTTCTTTTCTACACGTTTCTAATTGCTTTTGTAGTCCCAGTCTATTGAAGGGGTTGTCTGTCATTAACAAGTCCGCTATTTCATCCCCTAGCTCCTTAGTCTGTTTTAAATAACCTTTTTAATGCTCAGCACTGTCCACAGTGTTCTAGCACCTTTTGCCGTTTCTGCATAATATAACGAACACATTCTATTGTGTACTCTTTTTGCCTAAATCGATATAATATTTTAAACTATTTTCACAACTACGATTAGATACATTTATTGAAGAAGCGATGTAACAGAGTAGTCTGTATTTTTAATGTTGTTATGGGGTGGAAAGTCCCCATTCCGCCATTCGTCGTAGAGTTTCACCGCATCCTAATATCTAACCCCGTATAGCGCTATTATACCCCTTATGTTATACGTGCGCTACACGAATTTGGACATAATTCAAAAAATATTTCTCAACCTTGCACACAAATTGTCAGATATTTAAGTATAGCTAGTTTTCAATCAAAATAACCTATATATCACTTCGCACTTTCATCACAAATTAATCATTATATTTTTGATTAAACTTGAACCCTTAACCAAAAGGTCAAATATATTGCTAACGTCATTTAGCGAGTGATTCTAAAGAACTGTAGCTGATAAATGAGCTTTCCTAACTTATGTGAGACTGATTGGATGAGGACGGTCTACTTTGTCAATAATCGGCCACATAAAAGGAACAAATCACAGCAGTTGTAGTAGTAGTAGTATAGCTGGCACAGTAGCTGCCAGATAAGCTGGCAGAATGACAGAGTGCTCTCGTTATTGGACTTACCTACCGGACACGTGAGTCATCTAGCATTATTGACAAATCAGAGAGCTGATGAAATATAGCAGAAATCATCACGGACTTCCAATTTTTGAAAAATTGGAATTTCTATTATTTTAATCTATCTTTTATATATTTCCAATATCGTGAAATAATAGAAGTGAACATACTTCCAGTCCAAATTCTTGTTTAAAGAACCTAAATATGACAGATTTCTTTGTTTTACCCTATTGAACACAGTGTTACAAGATTCATGAAAATTCGATAATGCAGAACACCCGGTGACTGTATAGAATCTTAGGTGATAAAAGAAGAGATTTAGCCTGAAATCCGACCAGACCATTTTTATGGTATCTAGAACTGTGTCACCCATCTGATAGCCCGTTAGAGCCTAAGAATGTAGACAGTATCGGGTTTTATTGTAGACAGTAGCTAGTTTCTGTTGTAATTAACTGTAAAATAAATCGTTTTCTACTTTGTCTTGACTCCGTGTGGATTGTAAATTTGTCGTTATACGTACAGTAAGCGCGTATGGGTGTGCCGTAAATGATTTGTAGCCACCCTATTTATTCATGATTTAATAATCGCATTTATTACCTGATTGTATTTATCATTTAATAAATATAGCGACGATTGATTAGTGCTTGACTACAGTTGATTTTATAATATCCTTTACTTTAAAGAAAAAAGTTACTATCATCCCACCCTGATATTTCATAAACTAATCCCGCCTGTAGAACTAAAAGTCGCGGCAGTGTTATCGCAAAGTGTAGCCACTCTAAAATGGAATACTGAGATTAATTATAATACTCACAATCCTTTATGAAATCGTCAGTCATCTCCTTCATCTCCGAGGCAGCTCGATACTGAAACAAATGTTTGTTTTATTTATGAACTTATGATAATAGAAGGAGCATATGTTTTAATCAGAGATCAAGACGACAATTTATCATTGCTTAGACTCAACGACCAATGATAAATTGCTTTCGGCGAGCAGCTTAAGGAATAATTCCACATCACGATATAGACAATTTAATAAATCTCACGTGAAATTGCCTAAATGTTATAAATAAGTCAGAGTCTCTGTATAAAAGCGAGACATGGATGGGTGAGCATATTTTTTTAACAATATCATTTTATTGCTTAGTTTAAGTTATTACTTAGTTTTTATTCTGTGAGATTTTGTTGAAGTTTTATGGCATAAAAAAGTTCATTTGGCCGTTCTTGCAATCACTTACTAATACAACTTCCAAAATCCCAACCAAACCACCATTATATTCTTATGAGAAAATGTCCTACTTTTAATATAATTATAACGCCGCGCTACGCCTACTGCGCTAGACACATTTGCTAGAGACAATGACCCTAGTGGCTATTAAAGGTCGAGACAGCACTAGATTCAAGGACTACATTAGCTGTTATGTGGCTGCGAGGCGTGCAGAATCACGTGACAGGAATTACGTACTGCACGGTCACGTGACACGTATAAATGGGATTGTGGGGTCACCCACACGCTACTCCGCGGTGGAGTAATTACCACGGAGGGAGGCACAGGAACGCGTGACCTGGCTGATAAAGCAGCTCTTTGGGTAGAGGTGACTTGTCCGATTTGTTCGGCTAGTCCGGGTCTATCAGGGAGAAAACTGTTCTGATTTGTCAGGTGTCGTGGATATGGTACTCTACTGATATTCTTCATTCGCTTTTATCTATATATCTTTTCATCCTCCTTTCCTCTCGGCTCGGTAAATTTAATTTCTCTGATTTACTTTTACTAGTTACTAGGTTACTACCTGGTTACTAGGTTACTACCTGGTTACTAGGTTACTTTTACGAATCGTGGACATAATACTTAAATGGAAGATTCCCGAATGCACATATTTTGTTAAAATTTATCAAAAAGTGGGGATGATGAAATTCTAGGTTACAAACACACGGTACCACCACTTTGATCCACGAAATGCCTCAATATAACCGACATTATATTTTATTGGTTTCCTGTATCGTTGCTCTAACACCACTACACACTAATGCCGCTCTGCCTGTGCACCTTATTTACTGTTTCCCCGAGCATTCTATTCAATGATTCGAGTCTGTGTTATTGTTACTCATCTCTCAAAAATTCCTAGTGCTTCTTTCAATCTTAGTTTTATTAAATGTTAATTTGATTGTCCACACAGCCTGTGTTGAAGGCAGTGGTAATTACAGTCGGTAGAGTCTAGAACCTATAGGATTTCGCTCACTTTTAGCAGTGGTTATTACAGTCGGTAGAGTCTAGAACCTATAGGATTTCGCTCACTTTTAGCAGTGGTTATTACAGTCGGTAGAGTCTAGAACCTGTAGGATTTCGCTCACTTTTAGCAGTGGTTATTACAGTCGGTAGAGTCTAGAACCTATAGGATTTCGCTCACTTTTAGCAGTGGTTATTACAGTCGGTAGAGTCTAGAACCTGTAGGATTTCGCTCACTTTTAGCAGTGGTTATTACAGTCGGTAGAGTCTAGAACCTGTAGGATTTCGCTCACTTTTAGCAGTGGTTATTACAGTCGGTAGAGTCTAGAACCTGTAGGATTTCGCTCACTTTTAGCTTTTCAGGATGTTAAGTTTTTGAGATGTTGGTTTCGCATCTTGGCAAGGCTTCAGTGTTAAAACTTTTCTAGTAGGCCGCGTGTTTTCTCGAAGATAAGGCACATATTAAACCCTAAATATTAACAGATAATAGTACTGTAATATCAACAGCTAATACTACTGTAATAGTACTGTGATTTGTTCCCTTACATCACCGTGTCGACTCCCCCAGTTGGGAGTGCTTCTCCCTGACCAGGGTCTTTTCCAGCCCCTCTCCAGTCCTGAAGTTGGGCGCTCTAGTCCCCCAGATCTACTACCAGGTCTACTACCAGGTCTACTACCAGGTCTACTGCCAGGCCGCTCTAGGGACGACTTGCTCCTCCAGTTATTCACCTTCTCGAAACTAGTCCACCTGTAGAACACACTGGATCACGTTAAGGGCTCTTATTAGGGGCTCTTATTGGGGGTCCACATTAGAGGCTCTTATTAGGGGCTCTTATAAGGGGCTCTTATTAGGGGCTCTTATCAGGGGTTCACATTAGAGGCTCTTATTAGGGGCTCTTATTAGAGGCTCTTATTAGGGGCTCTCATTAGGGGCTCTTATTAGGGGCTCTTATTAGGGGCTCTTATTAGGGGCTCTTATTAGGGGCTCTTATTAGGGGCTCTTATTAGAGGCTCTTATTAGGGGCTCTTATTAGGGGCTCTTATTAGGGGCTCTTATTGGGGGGTCTTATTAGAGGCTCTTATTAGGGGCTCTTATTAGGGACTCTTATTAGGGGCTCTTATTAGGGGCTCTTATTAGGGGCTCTTATTAGGGGCTCTTATAAGAGGGTCTTATTAGGGGCTCTTATTAGAGGCTCTTATTAGGGGTCCACATTAGAGGCTCTTATTGGAGGGTCTTATTAGGGGCTCTTATTAGGGGCTCTTATTAGGGGCTCTTATTAGAGGCTCTTATTAGGGGCTCTTATTAGAGGCTCTTATTAGGGGCTCTTATTAGGGACTCTTATTAGGGGCTCTTATTAGGGGCTATTATTAGAGGCTCTTATTAGGGGCTCTTATTAGGGACTCTTATTGGGGGTCCACATTAGAGACTCTTATTAGGGGCTCTTATTAGGGGCTCTTATTAGAGGTTCTTATTAGGGGCTCTTATAAGAGGGTCTTATTAGGGGCTCTTATTAGAGGCTCTTATTAGGGGTCCACATTAGAGGCTCTTATTGGAGGGTCTTATTAGGGGCTCTTATTAGGGGGTCTTATTAGAGGCTCTTATTAGGGGGTCTTATTAGAGGCTCTTATTAGGGGCTCTTATTAGGGACTCTTATTAGGGGCTCTTATTAGGGGCTCTTATTAGAGGCTCTTATTAGGGGCTCTTATTAGAGGCTCTTATTGGAGGGTCTTATTAGGGGCTCTTATTAGAGGCTCTTATTGGAGGGTCTTATTAGGGGCTCTTATTAGGGGGTCTTATTAGGGACTCTTATTGCAAGTACAAGATCTGTGATAAAACTAGACTCTTATCTCAGACGAATATTAAGTTCACCTGCCGGAAGGAGGGGCTTGTTCTGAAGGAGCTGAAGAGAGCTTGATGAGGGGCACCTTCCTGCTCTCCCCTCCCAGGTCAGCAGGTGAGGGTACTCTGGAGGGGAGACTCTCCAGCTCCAGCTCACTACACATGCTCTCCAGGTCGAACTCTGTGGTGTCATCTCGTGGTGTGGTCGGAGGTAGGCTCTCAGTTCCGAGGTTTGAGAGTAGGCTCTGGTTTTCTGTATCTAGGTTTGAGAGTAGGCTCTGATTCTCAGTTCCGAGGTTGGACAGCAGGCTCTGGTTCTCTGTATCTAGTACGGGCAGTTCTAACTTCCGTTTATCAGGCTCCTGCTCTTTGGATCTCTTATCAGGTGACTTGTGGTTACTATGGTTACTCTGCTGTTTTTTAACTGGTGTCTTGTAGGATAGTTTAGCAGTGAACCTCATGTTGTTCACATAGAACTCCAGATTATAGGAAGGTTTAGGAGCAGGAGGTCTAGGTCTGAGAGGGATTAGAAAGGTGCTACCAGCTCTCTTCACAACATCAGGTACCTCCACATCTACTACAGCTGGGGGTTTGGAGGTCCTGGTCACGTACACAGTTCTTTGTTGGTACTTGCTGGGTCGGGTGTGACGGACCGTCACCTCCACCTCTCTTACCATCACCAGCTCTGATGTCAATGAAGGTTATGTGGAGTCAACCAGCTGAATCTGTTTCAAGCTTAATAAACTTACTTCAAAAATACCTGATCTACAAGTTCTAGTTGATATTCTCGTTTGGATTGCCAAATTCGTCTAAAATGGCCACAAAAGCAAATTAATCACGACACTGTTTGGCAATTTTGATCTGAAATTGCTCGTAATTGTTTTTTTGTCTTTATGGTCATCTTAGCCGAAATTGGCAATCCATAGGAGCAGTTGGCTGATAAGGTAGATTTTAACATGAAGTGGAATAAGCTATCACAATATCATGGAGATATGATATCATTCAGGGACTGGAAGAAAATTGTCCGATTAGTCACGCTGATGACGTCTTGCTCAAGGCTATCCAAGATCTGACTGATCAGTAACGAAGAGCAGATAACCTTAGGTGTGCGGTTCTTTATAATCTAATTCTTATGAGAATGGAAATGAAAATGGAAATGGAAATGAAGTCATCGTGACCAGTATCCTTCAAGTCCCTACTGATTAGTCGCCAGTCTGATAGTCCAGCGATATTGCGATCTAGCTTATTCCATTTCTTGTGACAATTCAGTTCCGAGCGACAAATCGGGATTTAAAAATTCCAACTATTCGAGCGAAAAGTGACTATAGGTAAGTGACTACGTAGTAAGTAAGTGACTACAGGTAACTGGAACCGACTACGTAAGTGACTACAATACAACACAGCAATAAGTAACATAACAACAGATGGAGGAGGAGGCGGGGGGAAGTAACAATTATCAAATGTGTGTAGACTAAACCGGGTACACTCCCGCGTGCGTGTGAGTGTAAAACTCAGGTCAACTTGATAGAAGCTGCATTATCTTATCTTATTGTAGCAATTAACAAAACATTGATTTGATAATTCATTGTTAACTAACTGTTCATTTGATATGTGTAGTTTATGCTCATAATATCGTTCATTATGCTTTCAGAAACACTCACTTTTAATTTTTATATATTTAGCAATCATAATTAATCGTTTAATTGTAGGACCGTTGGATCACCAATTTTAACTGCAATATTAATTAAACCCAATTATTTTGTGACACTGCCACGCTTGGCCGGTTTGTCTTCGTTGAA